AACATTTCTACTGAGAAGTCAGCAGCTAACCTTATTTGGGGCTCCCTTGTATGTTACTTCTTGTTTCTCCCTTGCTGCCTTTAAGATTCTCCCTTTGTTTTGGAATCTTGCCATTTTAATGATGATGTGTCTTGAAGTGGGCCTCTGAGTTGCTCTTGGTTGGGACTCTCTCTGATTCCTGGATTTGTGCATCTTTTTCTCTCATCAAATTAGGGAAGTTTTCTATCATTACTTTTTCAAATAGGTTTTCTATTCCTTGCTCCTCTTCTTCTCCTGGTATTCCTATTATTTGGATTTTATTAGGTTTCATATTGTCTTGCATTTCTCTTAATTTCTCTTTATTCTTTCTGAGCCTCTTTTTCTTTTCTTGCTCTTTCTCGTTTTTTTTCCCCCTACTTTGTTTTCCAACTCACTGATCCAATCTTCTGCTACATTAATCCTGCTTTTGATTCCTTCCACTGAGTTCTTCAGTTCAGAAATTGTATCCTTCATTTTTTTGGGCCTTGTTGATAGTTTTTATTTCCTTTTTCATGATTATATAGTTTGCAGTGAGTTCATTATAATTCCCATGTATTTTCTGGAAGCTCATTGTGAGCTTTTTCAAATTCCTGATAACCAGTGCTTTGAATTCAATACCTGAGAGTTGACTTGCTTCTATTTCATCTAGCATTCTTTCTGAGGCTTCCTCCTTTCCTTTTGTTTGGGGATTGGTTCTTTGCCTTCCTATTGTTTGTGAGACTCTTCTTGTTAGCTTTAGCATCTTAAATTGATTTGTTCTGGCTTCCTGGGTTTATGATGATATCTTCTGTGATATAATACCTGTGAGATTCGGTGGTGTAGTCTCCTTGATCTACCAAGGTCACTGGTATGGGGCTATCTTTAAAGTTGGTTCTGTGTTTGTCTTTAGGTTTTGATTGTTTTTGGATCTTTCTTTTGTGGGTCCTTCCCACCAGTTGGTTAACTGATGGTCACTCTGTCCACCACGTCTTGTAGTTTGTTGTGCTGGCTAGGGAAGGTTGTGTTGAAGACAGTTCTTCCATGTGTACAAGGTTTTACACTTGTTCTTGTTCAGTTGTTTGTACTGGGTAGTTTCTTCAGTATTTAGTTGTATATCCAGGTAGTCCTGGGCTGGGGTTTGTGTGGTTCCCACACCCCCCTTCACCCATTGCTCATCTGCGCTCTGAACTCTCCACAATCTCCACCTCCTCACTGGGGCTCACAAGTGCATTAGCAGTTGAGGCTTATATTTTCACAATCTCTACAAGAGACTGAGCTCCAAATTCTAGAAGTTTCCTCAATATCCTCTCTGTACACACAGGTCAGGCTCCTCATAACCAAGTCTAACTCCATACTCAAAGTAATACTTTTTATTTAATATTAACATGTATAATCTCAGCCTCTTTTAAGTAAAAGCACTTTTCTTCACTACTGTAAAACTGCATAAAAAGATGCCTGAAGTTCTTCAAGGGTTAACATGTTTTATTTCTGGGCGGTAGAATTTTGAGTGATTTGTTTGATCCTTTGTACATTTCTACAAGTCTTCAATTTTCTAAATGATGTTCATATATCACTTTCTTTAAACAACACAAACTTAAATAAAAAATGTAGAGCCCTAAGAGATCTTTAAAAAAATAAGAGAAATCATGGGGACATATAGGCTTTTCTGGGTGGAACATGACAATAAGAGAAAGGGAAGTGGCTTGAAAAGATCTGTGCATCTCAAACAAGCTACTTACCAGGACATGAGCAATAAATGTGCTACCACTCCTGCACTGACTATGGTAAGGGATTCCATGGTCGAGTGTTTTGTCTCTGCCACACTCTAGATTTCAAAGTTTAAATTCTTCAAAATGAAAATCAATTTTATTTATTTTCTTTTACGCTTAAATGGCAAGCCCTATTTCAAGTCCTTTACAAATACTATCTCATTTAATCCTCATAACACAGAGATGAATATTATTATTATGCACCTTTTTCAGAAATGGAGACACAGTGAAATAACTTAGCTGATAATGTGAATATCTGTTTATAAACTATGAAGGATGACAAGATTTTCTGTATAATGTATATATCACCTTTCATTTATCAATTCAACTGATATTTACTGAGCACCTGCCAGGCGCACTTCTAGATGCTAATGTATTGGAGGTGTTCAGGTGTTTAGTAATACAAACTAACAACAGTTTAAAGATAAGTAGACAAACAGGAAGAGAAATGAGATCCAGTTTGCGTTTTCAGGATATTCTTTCTAATTCCCTCCACATTTCTCATAACTGGTACACATTGCCATTGCCATGAAGAGCTACCTTAGAGTTTTGATCTGTGGCTGGAAATGATGATTGTGAATCATAATTTCTATCAGTGTTTGCAAACTGTAGCCCATAGCACCCAGCTTCTGCAGCGGTCGTGTATTTAACTCCTGCCTATGAATTAAATACAAGGTGGTTTTTAAATATCAAAATTGCTTTTATTATACTGTTATTTTAATAGGTACCAAAATAAAATAGTGATAAATTTCCTGTGCGTCTAGTGTGTAAGAAGTCAAAATAAAAAGTATAAAAACCATAAAAACTTCATAAAAGAACAAAGTTCAAATCAATATTAATTCATGTCAGAAAAAAACTATGAGCATTGGCTGATGTAGCTCAGTGGAGTGAGCTACAGGTTCAATTGTCCCAGGTTCAATTCCTAGTCAGGTCACATGCCTGAATCATGGGCCAGGTCCCAATAGGGGGCACACAAGAGGCAACCACACATTGATGTTTCCCTCCCTTTCTCCTTCCCTTTCCCTCTCTATAAAAATAAATAAATAAAATCTTTTTTAAAAATTGTGAGACATTTTGAAATAACCAAAAGAAGATGAGTGGGTGTCCTTCCAGGTACATCCTTACAAGTTAACTCTACCTTTTATTGTTTTTGACCTATTTTACAAAACTATAAGCTGTAGAAATTGATAGTAATGAAAATGATTCTTATTTATAGGAATATAAATGCTTCATGTGTGTCCAGGAGATGCAACAGATGACTGGTCTGTAGATATTTACAAGCTTTACACTGTTTCTTTCTTTCTTTTATTTTACAAGAGATTCTATATTTATTTGTATACATAATTATAATTTTGAACCCTAAAAAATAGCTTGTCATGAATAGTTCATCTCATAAAATAAAAGGATAGGAAAACAATGAATGACACTTAACTATGCAATTCTTTTTTTGTTGTTTTATTTTTTAATCATTTTTTATTGTTATTCTATTACAGTTGTCCCAATTTTTCCTCCTTTGTCTTCCTCCACCATCCCACCACCCACTCCTATAGTCAATTCCCACACTGTTGTCCACATCTGTGGGTCATTCATACATGTTCTTTGACTAGAGTCTTACCCTTCTTTCTACCATTATCCCACTCCCCTCTCCCCTCTGGTCTTTGTCAGTCTGATCGATGTTTCTATGCTTGTCGTTATATTTTGTTTGTAGTTTATTTTATTCTTTCCAAGCACATTTCAACAATTCTGATTGCCTTGTGCATTTTAAATTCTCCTTTAAACAAGCTGTAACATCTTACTGGTCCTTTCATTAATTAAAGAGCTAAAATCTTTGACAAATATTCATTTTATATTTACATGACAATAATAATTTTACCTTTTGTAAAAAAATATCTTTTAACATTCATTTATTGTGGCACATTAGGCTTTCCTGAAATGAAATTGCCTCTAAAATTTCTCCCAGTTTAAACACCTGGCAGGAGGAAGCTGAGCTCATGATGTCACATTTTTTCCTCCTGGTGCATTTGTGGTACCTGTGGATATGGTGAAGTCCCAGGGACTTTTACACATGTGTTTACACTCACATGACTATATTGTTGAAGTTTTGGAAACAATGTCTGGAGCTGATCTTGGATCTTGAAAAATCCTTCATATGGGCCTACTTACTTCCTCGACTATCTGCTCTCTCTCCTCCTGTGCCTGAGCCACATGTTTTGGCAGCGGCTTGCTTAGGTGATTCCTATGTACCAACTTGGGCCCCAGGGCAGTTAGATACTTGAGGGCCTCTGAATTTAGATTTCTTCTTGAGTCCTAAGAGTTGGTCTGGCTTGTGCCAGCGGCCCCACAAAATCACCTTGGTAGTTGATTGGAAACGGGGTGAGGAGAAAGAGCTTCCAAGAATGGGTAGAACATGATCATTTATTGGCCTCTGGACTTGGGTCATTCAACATGGTGGTTGATACTACCCATGGGGCTACTGAATACTGGAAATGTGCTTAGGGCTACTGAATGAAATTTTTCACTTTAATTTAAACTTGAAAACTGATGTTGCCCTCAGTTATTTGAAAACAGCACGATTGAAACTGTTTGGGTGTGCAAATTTATTTTTTAGATTTCATAAATGTTTATGTTTAAATTTTATGAAATTTAAATACAAAACAAGTATTTCTGATGACAGTTTAGCTCTCATATTGAAATATATTGCAAACGTAAAATACACACAATTTAAAACACAAGAAAAAAGTAAAATATTCCATTAATAGTTTTTGTATTGATTACATGTGAAACAATATTTTGGATATACTGGTAAAATAAAATATATTACAAAAATTAATTTCATCTTTCCTTTGTAAAAAAAACCCATATTATTAGATAATTTGAGATCCCATATTGGTTTGCATCATTGGGTCAGGACTCTCAGGACCATGAATTATCCCATTCCTCTCCACTTCCTTCCTCATTTGCCAAGTAGCACATAAGTGATCTTGAATCCCGCTTTTCTGCTTTGATTTCCTAATCTCAGCAGCTTTGTGTCTTCTTTGCGGGTGGTGATCACATTGCCTACTTTCTCCAGTCACCCGCGTGAAGGAGTTTCCAGGTTCTGAGACTCAAGAGCCCTCTTGACCTTACAAAGGTGGTCTGGCAATTCCTGACTTGCCGCTAGGGGGAGCTGCGACGCTACGTGGTTGCCAAGCAACTGGTGGCCCGGAAGAAGTTGCCCGCCGCGATCTGCAGCAGCTGCTCGCCGGATGACTTCCGGAGAAGGGGAGAAGTTGCGGCGAGCCGGTTTTGGGGCGGCGGGCCGGTTTTGGGGCGGCGGCGTAATGACCACTCTTCGGGCCTTCACGTGTGACGACCTGTTCCGCTTCAACAACATGTGAGTGAGATGCGCATTGGGCGAATACTGGTGGGGGCTCGCCTGCACCCGGGCCGGGGTTCAAGGAATCAGCTCCGCCCCCCGCCACTGGCGGCTGCCTGGGTGCTGCAGGGTCAGAGGCTGGGGACGGGGCAGATGCACGGACTGTCCTTCTGACCTCGGCGGAGGCCTTCCAACTTCCTTTTTTTACCTACTATTTATGCTTTTTATTCCCTGTACCTTTTCATTCGGCAACTCTCAGCGCTCGTGGACGCTGGGCAGCGCGCGGGCCGTCTCATCTGTGGTTATTAGGCAGCACTGGGGTGGTCGGAGGTGGGGCGGGCCCTGAGCTCACAGCCTGGCGCCGGGCTCTGCTGCTTGTGGGTTAGAGATTCGGCTTCCTCTTCTTCCTGCGGACACTCCAAAAGTAAGGGTCCCGAAGGACTTTGCGAGGTCAGTAGGCAATAGGTGTTTGTTGGAGCCTCCCTGGTGGCACCGACCGGTTAACTTGTGAGTGAAACGATACTTCGTCGTGGTAGTCCCGCAGCGATTCCTTTCGAAGTCGGAGTTTGGTTTTGTACCTCTTGTTGCTGGAGCAGCGATCCCGCCCTAGACAGCTTTTCTTTGCACAGTCAGGGTGGGGTTACATGCTGGTGGAGGCCCATTTGCTGGCAGTTTCTTTGAATCCGAGTAGTCAAGATATGTGACTTGTAGGTACCACTTTTTTTTAAAGAAAACTTTTTGTTATGAAAATGTGTGGGCATTTAAAGAGCTGACAATTTTACCATGAACATCTGTCTAGACAGACACATTATCCAAATTCTACAATTAACATTTTGCTATATTGGCTTCATCAAAACCCATCCATCCACCCACCGACCATCCCACATCAGCTTTTGAAGGATGGACAAAATGGTGATAATGACAAGAAACGAAGTCCTGGGGAAGGGATGATACATGAAAAAGCTTGAGGTGTGGCCAGACAACTGGGAGATGACCGTGTCTGTAGTGTAGTGGGTTTCTGTAACTGAGTAGCCAGAAGGAAAATGGTGAAATCACTTTTGTTGAGGAGTTTACACTTGATCCTGTTGGAAGAATTTTTTTTTTGTTTTTTTTTTGGTTACCTCCCAGTTGAAGCAGCATAGTTACTTTGTGTTGGGCTCTAGCTGATCCCAGTGTTGGCACTGTAATAACCCATTTAATCCTCAATTCTCTGAGTAGGTAGTCTCATTATCTCTATTTTGTGTATGAGCAAATTAAGGTACTGAGAGCCGAAATGAACTGTTCTAGGTGTTAGTTGGAGCCTTACAGTGGGAGTGGGTCAAACAAGGAGCCTATTCCAGGGAGATTGGCACTAGATTGGTGGTTCTAAAAGTGGTCCCTGACCATAGGAGAACATTTTGGAAATGCAAATTCTCAGCTGTTTGAGAACCATTGCTCTGAAGCCCTACTCTTCAACATAGAACTGTGTGGAATAGGAGATTAGAGGAGGTATACCAGGCAGGTAAGCCAGAGGGAAGGAGGTCTTAGCAATGGCCCAGCGATAACAACATAATTAAGGCTTGAGCTTTGAAGGTGCTGGCCTGGGAGGTGACAGTCTGCCTTGAAGCTTTAAGAATAGAAAAGGCAAAGCCTCTTGGAGAATCAGTTTTAACTGAAGATCTGGGAAGGGACAACACTATTTTATGTGAAAATGAATAGAGAGAAGAAAAGTAAGCATGAATATGTGCAATAAAACATTAGATTTCAAAGAATCATTCAACTTATAAGACCTGTTCAGAGTACACCTGTAGAGGAACTCCCCTTCCTCTCATTTTCTCCTAATTCTCACTTTGATTAGGGCATTTCTGTAGAGAACTCTGAGAATTGTTGGGAGTAGGGTGTTGCAGCCAGAATGGAAAGAAGCAGTGGATTTAGAATTTAACAAATGTTCTATTTATTCTTGGAAAATTATTCGTGTACCTATTTATGGAGCCATACTGGAGAACAAAACAGGAAAAAAATCAGTGTGGCTGGAGCAGAGTGAGTGTGGGTGTGAGGCAGTGAGGTTACAGTCAAAGGGCTAGATCTTGGAGAGGCCATCATAGGACTTTGGGTTCTATGGCATGTACACTGATAAACCCAGGTGTAGAATTCAGATAGGTATCTGGGCATAGAGGTCTCAAGTTTAGTTTGGGGCTAAAGATAGAAATTTGGTGTCAACATTATGGTATTGAAACCAGGAGGCTAGTGATGGAGTGATGGAGTGAGTGTACCTATGAAAAAGAAACTCCGAGATGGTGCCCTGGGGCCTCAGTCAGGTGTTAGAATGAAGATGTACTGGCCCAGTGAGATGGGAGGAAAACCTGATGGTAGGGTCTTGGAAGCTGAGGTGTTGCAAGTATTTTAGGTGGAGGAAGTGGGGGACTATGTCAGGAACTGCTGATGGCTAATTGTAAAGTATATTTGTACATTTCTTCCAGAAGGGAATGGAGAATTGCAGGAGCAGGGTCCTGAGCGGTAGAGGTGGTGGGATCTGTTTATGAGAACTCCAAGCATGGTTACAGAAGAACAAGTAAAGAGTGCAGAAGCTTATAGTTGGCTGGATTTGGTGGTGGGAACTTGGTGAAGCTTTCTTTTTACTGATGTATTTTCTTTGTGAAATAGAAAGCAGCTGAAGTTAAGAAGTGGGGTGGCCTGTTGGACAGTCGAGGCAACAAGAGAGAATATGTTAGAGCAAGTGATTCTCTAGGTGTGCACTGGGGCCCCTCATGATTATTTTGGGGCTCTGCAATGTGGTGTTGGAGCTATTTTAATGATAATACTAAGGTGATTTTTTTGCCTTTTCCACCCTCATTCTCTCACATAGTGGAGTTTTTCAGATGTGTGATCTTGCAAAAGCAAGTAGACAGATTGGAGAATCCAGCTGTCTTCTACTAGGCCAGACATTGAAAAGATCTATAAAATTGTTAAAACAGTGCCGCTCATATCACTAAATTTTTAAAAATAAAGTGTTTTCTGTAAAAAAAAAAAAAAGTACATCATTCAACTTTATAATAGGTCTGGGGAAACGTGGTGTTTATGATACATGGTGAAATAATTTGTCTTTGGCAATATAATTATATATGAAGATTGTAAGTATGGATGCCACCAGAGCAACACCATCCTAGTCCCTAAAGTTTGGTGATTGTACTCACTTTCACATTGCTCATTTAGGTAACACACCACAACTGAACATGACTTCTACTTTATAGTTCTTTGTTAATAATATTGGCAATTTTGTAGAGAAAAAAAATTTTAAGCCTTTAAAAAAATTAATGCTCTAACCCTGGCTGGTTTATTGAGCATTGGACTGTAAAGCAAAAGGTCACGGGTTCGATTCCCAGTCTAGGGCACGTGCATGGGTTGCAGGCCGGGTCCCCAGTAGAGGGTACGTGAGAGGCAACCTCATATTGATGCTTATCTCTCTCTTTTTCTTCCTCCCTTCCCTTCTCTAAAAATAAAAATAAATAAAATCTTTAGAAAAAAATTTAAATAATTGTTGCTCTAGTAAGTTGATCACTAATTCTATTGGGATAGAATTAATAATAAATGCCTGTCTTCTAGTTGCTTATTTTTTTAAAGTATATCTTATTGATTATGCTATTATAGTTATCACTTTTTTTCTCCCCTTAATTCCCCTCCACACTTCAGTCTGCTCCTACCAGCATCCGGACCCCCCCCGCCCCGCCGCCTTAGTTCATGTTTCTGGGGCATACATATAAATTCTTAGACTTCTCCATTTCCCATACTATTCTTAATCTCCCCTTATTTTTACCTACTATTTATGCTTTTTATTCCCTGTACATTTTCCCACATTCTCACCCCTCCCCACAGATAACCCTCCACAGGATCTCCGTTTCTGTGATTCTTCTCTGTTTTAGTTGTTGGCTTAGTTTGTTTCTGTTTTCTTTCCTTTTTTCTTTCTTTCTAAGTTCAGTTGTTGATAGTTGTGAGTTTGTTGTCATTTACTGTTCATGCTTTTGATCATCTTCTTTTTCTTCGATAAGTCCCTTTAACATTTCTTATAATAAGGGCTTGGTGATGATTAACTCCTTAAACTTGACCTTACGTAGAAAACACTTTATCTGCCCTTCCATTCTAAACAATAGCTCTGCTGGATAGAGTAATCTTGGTAACTGTCTCCTTTTCTCTTGCTGTTTTTCAGATTCTCTCCTTATTTTTAATCTTGAGTAATATAATTATGATATGTTTTGGTGTGTGCTTCCTTAGATCCAACCTCTTTGGGACTCTCTGAGCTTCCTGGACTTCCTGGAAGTATATTTCATTTGCCAGATTGGGGAAGTTCTTCATTATTCTTTCAAATAAGTTTTTAGTATCTTGCTCTTTCTCTTGTCCTTCTAGCACCCCAATAATTCAAACTTCGGAATGTTTAAAGTTATCCTGGAGGTTCCTAACCTCCTCATTTTTAAAAATTCTCATTTCTTCATTTTGTTCTGATTGAATGTTATTTCTTTCTTCTAGTCCAAATGATTGATTTCCGTCCGTTTTCTTCCCATCGCTGTTGGTTCCTTGTACATTTTCCTTTATTTCACTTTTCAATTTTCACTTTCTCTATTTTGCAACCCTACTCAACCATTTCTGTGAGCATCCTGATGACCAGTGTTTTGACCTGTGCATCTGATAGGTTGGCTATCTCTTCATTGCTTAGTTCTCTTTTTAGAGCTTTGATCTGTTCTTTCATTTGGGCCGTATTTCTTTGTCTTGGTGCACCTGTTACATTATAGAGCGTGGAGCCTTAGATTTTCACCTGGGAGGGGCAACCCACATTGCAGTGTTGTAGTGCTGCAGGTTGGGGAGGTGTTAGAAAGGGAACGATGCCACTTGTTCAGCTCTAGGCTGCCTTTCCCCTGCTACTTAGAAGTGAATTGGGCCCTGCTGGTGCTGATTCCTGGGTAGGTGAGATTGTGTGTTTTCTAGGACCCTGTGGATCTCTACAACGAACTCTCCTCTGAGGCTGGGAGTTTCTCCTCTCATTGCAA